ATTAATGTAATTATTACATATTAAAATTTTTAAGTACGATACACGCTTAATAATAATAATAATATGTAATACCGGTAACGACAGATAAAAATATCCATTGAAAATTTTTATGCTTTGTGGCAATCTTTTTGAAAAAATATCAGATATTTTGTTTTATGCAGTATAATTCATATCACAGTAAAAAAAAATATGAAGGGAAATTTCAATTAATTACTATTTAATTTATAATTGTATAAAATTCAGTTAAAAAATTTAATTTTATTCTTATTGTTAAAAAGCCTTAAAAAAATTCACTCAAATTGCAAAGCATTAATTATTAAACTTGATTTATTTAATGTTTTTTCTATTATATTATTACAAAACTATATTACACTGAATTTGTTATCCATTATTTGTAATTATTACCTGTAACAGTACAGTAATTTTTGATTATCTGCCTAATTTGCTAAAACCTATTTTGAGACATTTTGTAAAAATAATATCGATGAGAGTTTAAAGTTTTGCACAATTTCATAATCTTTAAAAATGTTATCAAAATAGAAATTTAATTTAATTTTAATTAAGTTTTATTTTATTAATAACATTTTAAATCTTAATTAATGGTAAATTATGCTTAATCATCGCTTTCGATTATTATTAAAGTTCTTTTTATTGAAATATTTTTCACAATATTTTTTAAATATGAAGTTTTATAAAATTAATCAACATTTTATCATAAATTAGAAAATGTAAAAAGGTATTTAAAAGGCCAAATTTATTAAAATGTTTGTTGCATACTTTATGATATTCAAAAAGAAAATATAAAGGTAATATTTACATACTTTCAATAAACGTTTCTCGTGTAATGTTTATAACATTCATATTATTAAACATTTATTAAAAGAGAAATTTTTAAAATTATTATTTAAATGATTTTACATAAAGCTTTTTTATTAAAATGTTGTAATTATTTTTGTAAAAATGTCTTTCTACCAAAAATTTTGCTTATTGAAATAATAATAATAATAATATTTATTTTATTTTTTTCAGCTCAGAAGATTCAGTGTTGGATGCATATACTTAACGTTAAACACAAAAATTATTTCTTATAATAAAATAATAATAATAATAATAATAATATTACAATTGTTACATTTCTTTATTATGTGAAAAGAATTTTTTTTGTAGTTGTTTATTTTTATCTATTATATATATCCGGAATTGTTAATAGTAAGTTTCTAGGTTTTTCTAAAGCTTGGGAATTTTGTGTGGTTGTATATTTTTAACCCTAATTAACGCATTTCAAGAACTTTATCCTTGCCAAGATAGTTAGGATGTCAGGTTCAACTTTTCGTATGGGGGAGGGGGATTGGATATGTAGTGACCCGCATTGTGCCAATATTAATTTTGCTCGTCGAACCCAGTGTAACCGTTGTGGGTCGGAAAAAAGTGAAGCTTTAAATAAGCGAAAATTGGGGCAAGAGATAGGTAAAGCTGCAGCTGCCAAAAGTCACGGTTTGTTTAGCGCCGATGATTGGCAGTGTAATAAATGCGGTAACGTTAACTGGGCTCGCAGACAGCAATGTAACGTATGCAACGCCCCACGATTTGGGGACGTTGAAGAGAGAACGGGTTTAGGGGGGGGTTATAACGATCGAGGGGTCGTGGAATATAAACAACGAGACGATTCAGACGACGAATACGATGAATTTGGTAGAAGGAAAAAAAAATTAAAAAAATCCGAAAGCGATACAGATTGTAAGGCGAATGGGAAAAAAAGTCCAATAACGACAAAAGAGGAAATAAAAGATGATGATAAAAAATTAGATGAAAAAGAGGAAGAGGAAGATAATGACGATGAAGAAGATGAGGAGGAGGAGGAGGATGAGGAAGAGGATGAAGATGAAGATGAAGATTTATCAAAATATGATTTGAGTGATTGGGCAGTGGAAAAATCATAAAACCTTCACCTTCAGGAAATATCTCTGATCTGCTGATAAGTGATAAGGTTTGGTAAAATAGGGTTTTATCGGTATGTTTCAAATACCGATTTTGAAGGGAAAAAAAAAACATTTTTAATAAATTGTAAATAGAACATATATATAATCACCTATGTTTTTAACATATTTTATTATTATTATTATTATTATTATTTAGCAGTGTATTAAATTTTACCCTAAAAACCAACCAAATTACTAACTCTTAGAGTAAAAGAAATTTTTTATATGAATTTTTGTTAGATCAGGTTCTAAAACCTGATTTTTTACTCATCAAAGAAAAAAATTCATTAATTTTTAATTTTTCTATTGTATTATCCAAAAATGACATTATTACTAAGACTAATGTTTTCTTTGTAGGTTTTATACAATGTGATAGTAATTTATAAACGGAATACATTTTAATTATTAAAAAAAAAAAAAAAAAACAATGATACTATTCACAACCGTTTCTCTCTCTCTCTCTCTCTCTCTCATTATGTACCTGAATAGGAAAAGAAAATTTTTTTTTTTTTTAAAGGGATAATAATTAACTACTTCGCCTTTTTGCATTAAATTTATAATGATAGTGTCATTTAAAAGTAATTTTACTCAATTATTCAACGGTTTTAATTTTTTTTCTTTTTTTTTTTTTTTAGGTGTGCAAAATGATGACGATGATGATGACGAGGAGGACGACGACGACGATGACAAATCAACCTCGTCCAAATTTTAATTATAAAAAAAAAAAAAATATATTTGATTTTCTACAAGGATCGATGAAAAATAATGGTAAAAAATATCTATTCATCGGTATAGGTGTTGCCTGTTTGAGTTATTTAGTTATAGATACGTATAGATTTAGTGTAATGAACAAATCTGAAAATCATGTAATTAAATTAAAAAAATTAGAAAGAAAAAAATATGAAGAAGGAGGAGATGGAGAAGGAAAAGACTTGAATGTTAATTTTTAAGTGTACAGTCAACAAAAAAATAACAACAAATAGAAATAATAATAATTATTTTATTAAATAATGTAGATTAAAATAATAATAATAAAAAAAAAAAAAAAAAAGAAAATTATTATTCATTGAATTTTTTTTATTTTTTTTTTTTTAAAAACATTTAACTACAAAAAAAAAAAAAAGGAATTTCGTGTCAATCAATTGAACAAAAAAAAAATTTTTAACGAACCAGATGATAAATAATTTATTTTCAATGTCAGTTATTACTTATTATGTTAAAAAAAAAAAAAAAAAAATGGAAATTTTATTCTTGTTTTAAAACAAAAAAAAAAAGAAAAAAAATTCATACGTGATTTTTATTTATTTATTTCGAAAAACTTCTCGAATATTCTTATTTAAAAGTATCGAAATTAATTATTTTATTCTTTAGACATTTAAATCTCTGTTCTCCCTAAATGTTTAATTTATTTACCTTAACATATTTTTTTAAATCTTGATTATCATTATTATTATTAAGATTATTAAAATCGTAAATTAATAATGTATAATTGTAAAAAAAAAAAAAAATAATAATAATAAATTAAATTTGTACTTTGTTTTAGACTTTGACTCATAATAAAATTATTAACATCATATTTTACATTCGTATATATGTAATTATGTTTGGTTTTATTTTTTATTTTTTTTTTTTCTATTAATCAAATCGATATTAAAATTTTTCTTTCTGTTTTAATTTTCTGGAAAATTCTCATGAATTTTCCAAAATAAGAGAGAGAGAGAGAGAGAGACCAACCGCACCCAAAAGCGTGACTGTTTTAGTTTAAAAAAAAAAAATTGTACATCATTTATTATGTAATTAATTATTATTTTTTTCTCTTCTCTTTAATAAAATCCAGTTACATTTATAATGATAATAATAAACCTTATTAAGAGTAATTATTATTATTATTATTATTATTATTATTATTATTATTTTGGTTTTACATTGTTTTACAGTGTCTAATTCCTTTTAAATGTCAATAAACATTCACATGTTATTATTATTGTTATTTTTTTTCAAATAATAAAAATTATTTTTAACAAATACCAAATAAGGGCCTTATCACATAAAATTTCGATACTTTTAATGATAACAACAACAACAGCAACAACAGCAACAGTCATCTAAAAAAATTATAATAATAATTTTTTTTTTATTAAAGTTTTACGAAGAGTTAATTAAAAAAAAATTTTTTTTTTTAAATTAGTATAAATAATTATTATTATTTTCGTCAAAGTAATAATCCGATAATTGAAAGAAAAAGGAAATTATTATTAATTAATTAATTTGTTTATTTATTTTAAATAAAATAAATAAAAAAAAATTAAATATATTTGAGTTCAGGTTAAAAATGGCTAAATATTCAGTTAAATGAATTGCGCAATGTAGTCTACCGTAGTTCGGTTTACGAAGTAGGCGAGGAGTAGAATGACGTAATGGTAGTAGGAGGAGTGAGAGGAGAGAGGGAAAGAGAGGAGGGAAATTTTTAACTTCGCAAACAAGTGAGAAGGGAAATCGAGTCTTCAGTATGAAAAAAACTTTTCACCGTGACGGATCGTTTCGAACGTCGGGGGTAAAAAAACCGTTAAAAAAAAAATTCAATTCCCGCGAAAAAAAAAAAAAAAAAAATTGTAATTATGTGTTGGATGAAACAGGGTTAAAATCCGTTAAATTGTTTTTTTTTTTTTTAATAAAACGTTTTAACTTTTTTATTTATTTTTGTTAAAAGTGTTATTATTATCGTTTTAATAAAAATGAATTTGTTTTTTTAATAATTTTTATTCGCGTTAATTTTACATTGAAATGGGGGAAACAAAATGGATGGATGGATGGAAGCCATTAAGTAATTATTAACAAAGTAAATTTTTCTCTTTTTTCTCTTCTTTTTTTTGTAATTTTTTATCATTTTATGAATGTTTTAGTGTAAATGATGGAATTTTACGAAAGGATAAATATATATTTTAATAGTTTTTATAATGGTTAAACATTAATATCAACAGGTTGCAAAAGTAATAATAATAATAATAATAATAATTATGGATAAAAAAAATGAAATTAATATTATCGTTAAAATAATTAAAAAAAAAAAAAAAAAAAAAACGTTTTTTTTTATTAAAAAAATTAATTGAAAATGACGCCGGTTTTAATTATTTTTAATAATAATTTACTTTAATTAACGTATTATTAGATTTTTTTTCTTTTTTTTTTTTAATAATAATGATGTAAAGTTCGTAATTAATATTTTGTAATATTTTAAATTATTTTATATGTGATTAAATTGTCAAATTTTTCCACCCCCCCCCCCCGTCTACCCTCGCTTTCCCCCTTCAGACAACAAAATTTACAGCTAAATTCAATAGAAAATGAAAGAAAAAAATGGAAAAAAAAAAATGTTCGAATGCGCATGCGCTTATTATTTTTTTATCACACTACAATCTTATTTGTAGTCTAAATGAAATTTTTTTCTATCTTTTTTTTTGTTGTAAGTGTCGCATTTATTTTTTTTATTTAATCAATTTTATTATTTTTTATAAATATTTATGTATCTTAAACATAAATAAGAGAGGAAAAAAATCATCGATTATAAAGATTTTTAAATGAGGGGAAGGGAGGGGGAAACCCGAAGAAAACCATTCGATGTTATAATTTAAAAGCTTTTAATTGAAATCAATAATTAAAATAATTAATAACTTAATACAAATAAGAGAGAATACATAACATTTATTTATTATTATTATTATTATTATTATTATTATTATTATTATTATTATTATTATTATTATTATTTGAATCTTAAACGTACTTGACAACCTTGTGTGTGATAATCATTATAAAAAATACAAAACGTTAATTAATAATTATTTTATTTTTATATATTTATTTATTTATTTATTTATGTACATAAAAAAAGTAATTTTTTGATTATTTAAAGTAATTATTATTATTATTTTTAAGCTTGGTAAAAATTAAAAGGGGAAAAAAATGGTTTCACTAGGGCGTTTCATAAAAAAAAAAAAAAAAAAAATTACACATTTATTACACACACGCAGGACTGTGTGACATTTTATATTATTAAATAGAACAAAGTCGGTATTAAAACATAATATTAATAATAATAATAATAATAATAATAATTACTTTGTTTAATATGTACAAAATGGCCGAAAAATTAAAAATTTAATATTTCGATGTTGGTAAAGTATTA